GCCCCCCCCCCCCCCCCCCCCCCGCCCCCGACTCAAAGTCCAGAGGCAGATCATCTTCCTGAACGCGGCCCTGTGAACCCTTCCAGCAACCTCGGATTTGCCAAAAGCTTTCATTTATTTTTAATTAAAATGCAAATCATTCGCTTTCAAGCACAGCCTTGCCCTCCCTAACATATAGCTGTATACATATAGAAACAAAGTGTGGGATGAACCCCGGCCTCAGCTAAGTGTTTGGGAAAGTCCGGCTTTGCTGGAAGTGTGCAAAAGAGCTTGGAGGCCCAGAGAGGTCCCCCAAGGAAAACAAAGTCAGGGGGCCCAGGAGCATTTGAAAGCAGCAAACACTGAGCCCTTAGGGCAGTGCCTGGTAGGACCCGATTGAGACCAGCAGCTCACTCTCCTGAGGTGCTTGGGGCAGACAGCCCACATACAACACCTGGCTAGAGGTACCGGCAGAATGAGTCCATAAAACATGCTGCTGCTGGCTGGTTGAAGGGTTTAGGCACCCGGATTCACCCCTCAGGGATCAAGGACACAGTCCCCAAAATTTTTATTGTTAGAATTAATAATCATACTATTTTAATTCTCCAACGTGATTGACAGTTATAGAATCAACGGGTGAGACTTCATTGCAAACCCAGCTTTCCAACTACCAAGCACAGTTTCTCTCTCTCTCTCTCTCGTCTCTCTCTCTCTCTCTCTCTCTCTCTGTGTGTGTGTGTGTGTGTGTGTGTGTGTGTCTGTGTGATGTTGCCTTGGGCTTCTGTCAATCTCTTTCTTTGTGTCTCTGTTTCTCTCTCTGTCTCTCTCTCTGTCTCTCTCTCTGTGTGTGTGTGTGTGTGTGCGCGTGTGTGTGTGTGTGATGTTGCCTGTGGGCTTCTGTCAGTCTCTTTCTTTGTCTCTCTGTGTTTGTCTCTCTGTGTTTGTCTGTCTCTCTGTCTCTGTCTCTCTCTCTGTGTGTGTGTGTGTGTGTGCGCGTGTGTGTGTGTGTGATGTTGCCTGTGGGCTTCTGTCAGTCTCTTTCTTTGTCTCTCTGTGTTTGTCTGTCTCTCTTTCTGTCTGTCTCTGTCTGTCTCTGTCTCTGTCTCTCTCTCTCTGTCTGCTCCTCTCTCTCTCTCTCTCTCTCTCTCTCTCTCTCTCTCTCTCTCTCTCTGTGTGTGTGTGTGTGTGTGTGTGTGTGTGTATTTCCTTTTGTCTTTCTCTCGGGTCTCTTTTTAACATCTCCTCCTCAATACCCGTACTAAATTCTCAATAGAAAAATGATCATTTCTATAACTACTAACTCTTTCCCAATTACAGCATCTGCAGGGACATCTACTTTTCGAGCAGTTAACTTGGAAGACCAGTAGCTTCGTTTCCTCAGTTCCTACCTAGTACCTGAGAAGCCCTTCCTGGAGGACTTGAGCAGACCTTGAGCTGGAGGCCCAAGATTCGGTTGCAGGCTGATTGTGTGCCACCGCAGAAATGCTGGCTCCGAGTGCGAGTGCGAGCAGATTGTTAGGAAGTCAGAGGCATCGAAATTCCAGCGCCAGAACCAGAGCCCTGGCCGCACCACCACTGTCGCCTCTGAAGTCTCCCTACGAGTTTGGTTGGCAGCTCTTCTCGGGTTTAGGAGCAGAGGCAGTCTGGGCGGGCGTGGAAGTGCAGATGGAACCCACGTCAGCACTCTTGAGAAGCTAGAGGCTGGCAGCCCCTTAGCATATCTCCCTTCCCGACAGAACCCCATCTTTCCTAGGTCAGATCCAAAAGTCTATGGAATGATGGAATTAGCCAAGTCTTGAAGTTAATAAAGGTGGGACAGATAGAGGAAGACAAATATCATTCTCCAGACTCGGAGTGAGTGAAAGGGGCAAAAGATGATTAACCGCTCGGCTTTGCTCTGACACTTCAAACTCAACCCCGGGTTGACACCCTGGAAAGGATGATTAAGGCCTTCTGCTTGGACTAACAAAGGCGACTTGACATTCAAACTCCCTGGTGCTGCTCAATTTTTATTCTTGGGCGGTTTGTTGCATCTATTTCTGTTTTCTGAGCCTTAAATTTGGGTTCAGTAATCTCATGCAGATCTCTGTGGCGACACTTCCGACCCCCGCCCCCCGCCGCTGGTTCATTAACTGCTGGATTCTTCAAGATCCACCCAAGAGCTTTTCTCCTCGTCAACCCTGACCAGAACTTAAAGACCAGCCACAGGGAGCAAAGTACCTTTGACTAGTGCTTCTAATCACAGCCTAAAGTCCCCGGCATCTCCAGCTTCCCCAACAGCCCGGAGTTGAGAGCTTGACCAGACATTCTGGAGGAATTCCTGTATCGAAAGTTTAGTGATTCTGCCTCATGTGAATCCAACTAATAATAATAGAGCGGGGACATGTTTTTGTCATTCATCTCATTCCTCTTAGGTTTCGATGCCACGCGAGAGATAAATATTCCATTAAGTTGATTTCGTTCTCAGAGCAATGAGACTCCCTCCCTTAAGTGATAACGATCAGGGCGGGGGAGACTCAGGAATGAAAATCAAAATGGAGAAGGAACAGAAAAGAGGAGGTGGAAAGATGGGATAGGATGACCCTTAGGCCTGCGAGGGGATTAAGATCATCTACAGGCTTAAGGAGCAACAAATTAATTTACACAATTCTGGAAGAGCCCAGATGGCCTTTAATTAATCCCTTCAAAGAACTCGGCCGGGGATGTGCCGGCTGCCTGCACCATTGGCTCCGTTTCGCAAGGGTCCAGACACCATTCGAGGTGAGGCGCCTAGAACTGGTAGGGGAAGTAGGAGAGGATGACGTGAGCTGGTGTGGGCGGAAGGGACGAACTTAAACCTCTTTTCCATAAAAGGGTTGGCTTTTCATTATTCCTCTCTTTAAAAAGTAATACCCTCTTCGTCCCTGCTCCTTCCTCCCCTTTTCCATTTTATTTTGCACAATTAATTGAGCCGGACCGCTGGCCCCGGGCTGGAACCACTCTTCTCGCCAGGTCCCTCCCCTCTCGGTTCCGCCCAAAGGACGCTGGGGAGGGGACTAGGCGGGCGCGGCCTTACGGCTCCCCAGCTTCAGCCAATCAGAGGATGTGGCGCTCTCTGGTGGGCGTGCCCCAGGATCGAGGCCAGGCAGAAACTGAGCGCTATTGGAGGCGGTGGTTACGCCCAAGACCTGCGCCCAGCTCCTCGGTCCCGCCCCTCAGAGCCGCCCCAGAGTGACGTCCCTGAAAGTTCTCATTTTGGCCCCCCACCGCCCCTCCCTTGCGTCCCCCAGCTAAAGAGAGGCAGGGAGGGGTGCAAATGTTTTATTACCTTTGAGAGCTTCATCCGAACTGTCAGGCCCGGAGGGAGAGAGGAGAGAAGGGAAGAGCCGCCGAGAGGGTCAGTTTGGCCAGAGGACAGGGCTTAGAAGAGCGAAGCCTGGAAAGCCAAGGAGAAATGCCAGAGAGGCGAGAGGAAGGCGGAGAGGGGGGGC